TGGCCGGTGAAGAACTCCCATGTCCAGAGAATGAAGGTTGCGGAGATGAGGATGCTCAGGTGGATGTGCGGGCTCACCAGGTTAGATAGGATTAGGAATGAAGTTATTGGGGAGAAGGTGGGGGTGGCCCCAGTAGATGAGAAGATGCGGGAAGCGAGGCTCAGGTGGTACGGGCATGTGCGGAGGAGAAGCCCCGATGCCCCGGTGAGGAGTTGTGAGCGGCTGGCCGCGAGTCGAGGCAGAGGGAGGCCCAAGAGGTATTGGGGAGAGGTGATTAGGCAGGACATGGCTAGAATGCGGATTTCCGAGGACATGGCCCTGGATAGGAAAGTCTGGAGGTCTAGTATCAGGATTGCAGGATAGGGGCGTCTAGAATTTTTCGTACTTCTGTCCCGGGGCTGGGGGGGGGGGGTTGGTAGGGCTCTCCATAGATGATCTGTGTATTGTATTGTGCCCCCTTATGGTAGTTACTGGTCGATATATTTGCATGCCATTTTATTTATGGTTTATGTTTAGATAATTATTTATGTGATTTCTGCTGGAGTCACTAATGCTCTTTTGCTTTTTGTTTTTTGTTTTTGTTTTCCTTTTCCTTTTACTGAGCCGAGGGTCGATTGGAAACAGCCTCTCTGCCCTTTCGGGTAGGGGTAAGGCCTGTGTACGTATTACCCTCCCCAGACCCCACCTTGTGGGACTATACTGGGTAGTTGTTGTTGTTGTTGTTAAAATAAAAAAAATTGGATAACTAACCTTCAAATAGAAGAGAGGGGGTTTGATTTCGGGTGAGAACGGAGGCATGTGGTGGCAGCGGCGGCGACAGAGAGGTGATGGTGGAGAAGAAGTTGTGGCAACGGCGGCAGGTGGTGGCAGCGGCGGCAGACGAGAATGAGATGATGAAGGCTTTGATTTTGGGTGAGAAGGGAGGTAGGAATTTATTTTGGGTGGGATTTGGGGTGAAATTGCCTTGGGTGGAAGAGAGAGTGAGAGAGAAAATAGAGAAATGGAGAAGAAGCCCCTGGAGACCTAATTTAGAATTTCAGACCGATTTCGATCGGAAATAGCGATCGGTACATTTAAGTGACGATTTGATTGTTTGACCATAAACCGCTGAAATCGATCGGTTATCTGAGTTTAAATGTTTTTAGAAAAATTTATTTATTAATATAACCGACCGAAGTCGATCGATTTTTAGATAAATGGTCAAAATTACTTTTAAGTAAAGACTACATCCTAAATGTTAATATATATGTGTGTGTGTGTGAGTGTGTGTTTTAAATATATGTAGATTGTAAATAACAATAATCTATAAATGGTTGACCCTTTATGACCACTAATACCAACCGAAATCGGCCAGTAATTTCATCATTTTAAAAAAAAATTATATTTGTTATAAAAAAATACAACTGACACTGGGCGGAAAAAAATAAATTAAGAATTTCGACCGATATCGGTCGGTAATGATGAACTTTTTTTAATTAAACTTTTTTTCCGTACGTAATATGCAAGTCTGACTAGCTTTTGGTGAAATATTGATCATATTCCGACCGACATCAATCGAATTTTTTAAATGTGTCAGATAAAGCTGTATTTTGCTATTGTGGGATCACATTTACCGACCGATGGTGGTCGGTATATTTATTTGAAATTGGTTATTTGACTTTTGCAGCTAATTTGCTTTATTTGCGATCATTTTCGGTCGCTTTTTACTTCCGACCAGTTTCGGTCAGTTTTTACTTCCGATGGATTTCGATCGGAAGGCCTTGGACAGGTTTCCACCAATTTCTTGTAGTGATATATAGTACTGTTTAAATAAATACATAGTTGGAGTTTAGCATTTTGTTAAGGAACAATTTCAGAGATTTCCCCGGATTTCGCATAGTTACGCCAATATCAATTCTTTTAATCTATTTATTATCATTGAAGTAAAAAATGACTGCACAATTTAACAAATTCACACTTACTACGCCCTCTCTCCCCTTTATGTGAGGCAATTACTATTTGGAGAGTTCAAAAAAAAAATTTAACCCGATTTTTTCAAATAAGTTACAAATATTTTGAATTGTTAATTATAGTGACTTACAGTACTGTTTATATAATTTCTAAAATACGTAAATTTTATTTTTAAAAAATTGAAGATTCTATATTAGAATTCATGCTTATATCTATAAGACAGTAGGAAAGTGAAATGCACCGGTCACTAATTCCTAATCGAAATATAAGTCCAATATCAATAAGGAATAGTACGTAGGAATTACTGTTTTCCTAATCTGATTAAGCTGGCCGATATCAATAAGGTACTGTTTTCCTAATCCAATAAGAAATCCTCTCTCAACAAGGAATAAAGAATTACGAACATACTATAAAAGCGACCCAACTCTTGCAAATTGGTATAATCTCATCTCTGAATCTTACTTTCTCATATTTCCTGTCTCTTGTCTTTCAGCTAAGTAAAATTTGGCATGGAGATGGACAGATTGTTGCCACATTCTACGGAAACCACCATCCTTGGGGTGACTTACGAGGGCGGCGTTGTTCTCGGCGCTAACTCCCGAACCAGTACTGGAATGCATATGATGAGTAGGCTTTCTAATAAGATAACTGAGCTAGCTGATAATGTCTATGTTTGCGCTGACGATGCACAAATAGTTTCAGATTACGTTCGCCACTTTCGAATTCAACTTGGCCAGCCAACGACTGTCAAGTCAGCTGCAAACTTTGTTAGTTCGTTGCCCTATAATAATAAGGCTAAGCGTCAAACAGGAAGGATTGTTGGTGGATGGGACAAATATGATGGGGGTAACATATATGGGATTCCTGTTGGGGGCACAGTAGAAGAGCCGCAACGTTTTGCTATTGAAGGACGTGAATCTAGTTATTTGCATGGTTTCTTGGACCGAGCATGGAGGGAAGGAATGAGTCAAGAAGAAGCAGAAAAACTGGTTGTGAATGCGGTGTCTGCAGCCATTGCACGACATGGTGGTGCGAGCAGCGATGGCGCAGTTCGCGTTGTGACTATTAGTAAAGATGGAGCTACAGGGAAATTGTATCCGGCTGGTACTCTTCCATTCAGAGACGGATCCAGGATTTAAACCCTATGATTAAACTTTTAAGGCTTTTAGCATTCAACCCATTGTATTTTTAAAGTAATTACTAATTAGTTCATATATATTATTTTTACAATTTTAATGAATTTTTACATATAAATTTTTGCTCAACGTCAAAGTTTTGTGTTCAATTGAACCCGATCGGTAGACTGCTTCCACTTGGGCATCAAGAGACATAGCCTGTGAACTCACTGCTGGAATTGTAGTATTTAGTATTTGAGCTTCTAGAATTGTACTCCTTCTCTCCCAATTGAATAATGCAATTCGGATTTCGAGTGTCAAACAAGTTAGTTTTTTATCGCAATTCTTATATGGCGTTTTGAATTGTAAATTACAATGACTTATAACACCTTTTTATGTAGTTTGGAATTTTAAGGATGTTTATGGTGAAGGGGCATTTTTTGTTTGGTTGCGATATTTAAATAAACCTTTTGTTCCTTATTGCATGTATATATGCAAGTATATGTTTCAATTACCCGAATTACGAGTGTTAGTAACAGTCCTTAAGACCTGCTCGTATTTTCATATTTTCTCAGTACAATTTTGTTTTATATACTATTTCTTTTAGCTAGTACCTAAAAACTTGATCTCCTTTTCAAGATAATAAAACATTGAGAAACTAAGCATGAACTACTCCGAACATTGCTCAAGAAATATAATCATCAAGGATATTAAGGACGAGAAATGATAATTTACAGCAAGGATAACTATGAACAATACTTTAAACAGAAAGCAATATTTTTATACTCATTGTTAAGAAAACTGAAACTATATATGACATTACCTGATCCATCCTATCGTCTCGTTAAGTAATACTAGTAAATAAACTACAACTTCGTTACAGATACCAACTCTTTCAGTGATTTCTCATACCTAGTACCAAGCAGATGCAGAGATTAGGTTCCTCTCCTTCCACCCCAACAGCATAGCCCCATCTTTCTCCACTAGCATATAATGCTCTGAGTAACGCCTCATGAGGTCCTTTATCACTGAATTCACATAAGAGCTCAGAGGATATTGCCGAAAACCTGCCATCATGAACCTGGATTTCCACTTCCCCAGTAGCTCGTGACGTTCCACCCTTTCCTTGCCCTCGCATGCTATGACATTCACTATATCCCTAGCCAAACAATGCTGCTCCACATTGATCCGCTCCTTCCTGTCCCTCGCTAGGGTCACATCTATTGACTCGAACATTGCATGGTAGTAGTCCAGGGCTTCTAAAAACCTAGGGAAAAATGGGGCCGTGTTTGTATTTGATTCTTGCTCCACCAAAGTGACTATCTTGGGGCAAAGCGACTTTATCATCCTAATAAGCTCATCCCTCGGGTTATTCACGTCAACGCTCTCATCAGGGGTGTGATGAAGTTGCAAAGGGAAGTTTACTGCCACAGCCTCACCAGGCCTTACATCAAGCATAGCCTTAGTGACTTCTGGAGCAAAAACTGGCACTGCATTAAACTCTACTGCAATGTTGAATTTCTCAGAAATTGCTGATAGCCGTTTCTCCACTGCTGCCAATCCGTCTCCCCGAGCATATTGTGAAACTGGATCATCAATTCCTGTAATGCGTACATAGGGGGCACCGCCAGGTCTTGCAGCAAGAGCTTGTAAGAGAGTCATCCACTGGGTCCCCTGCGCAATTTGGAAGTCAATAATGTGGACGTAATTCTCGTTTCTGCATGCTTCTGCTATGGCACCATTTGCAGCCATGTAGCCAAACTTTAGGTAAGGACATATTTCATAGAGGATATGCATGTAGGAGAGCAAATCATTTCCAGCCGGCTCCTTGCACCTCAAACTCCTATATATGGTGGTTCCAGATAACTCTTTTCTTGCTACCAGCCCTTCTACAATGTAAGCACCAAGACGCTGCATTGGATCTCCAGTAATGGACACAGCACCCCTTGCCTTGGTAACCAGTACTTCAAAATCATCTAGATTGTTTTCAGCAAGAGCTCTGGCGCATGCAATAAGCAGCTGCTTCAGATTGCTAGAGGGAACACCATGCACGGGCAAGTCGTCCAGTACTTTGTCCCGTTCATGACGTAGAATACCATTGCCTGACTTGGTGAACATGGAAACTTGTGATGGTTGAGTTTCAATTGGATGCAAAACCTTGGCTTTGTTGGTCCACGCCCTAGACCTCTGACTTGATGTTTGTGCCGCCTTATTTCTGCCATAAGAAGGGCTGGATTTTGTGACTTCTTCATCTGGCCCCATTAAAGCAGACTCCAACTGCAGCAGAGCACGTTGCATGTTCTGAGTGTGAACCGCATTCTGAAGAACAGCATTTCCACCAGAGAAAACCAGCAGACCTTCCGGAAGACAATCCGGGGAGGGGCTTGGACGATGGAAATAATGGTTATAATCCAGCGAAGAATTACTGGAAGAACTAGCTCCTGAAAGATTTTCTGTAGAGCTGTGCTGCTCCTGGCAATCACTTAATGTGGTAAAGGTCTCAGAGTCTAAATAGTTTGCAAGTGGTGAAATTGGCGAATTTTCTGAATCAAATTTCGAGGTTCCAGACGGCCTATTTGGTAGAGAACTAATAGTAGGATATGAAGAGTAGGACAAATCGCTTCCAGTCACACCATAATCATAGAAATGGTGCGCATCCATACTATGCACAAAGTATTTTCAGCACATTCTCTTTTCTCTCAGACAATATCTGCTTCAACAAAATCAACCTGTGATAAATACAGAGATGAACTAACATCAACTTTACAACCCTCTCCAGAGGACAATAAAGCTTTCTTCTTTTGAAGCTAATGGAAAGACAAGAAGAAAGTACAGAACGAAACACATCGAGCATCACCATGACATGTCTCGTGGGGCTAATAATTAGTTCTAACTCTTACTATAAGTGTTTGCTGAAGCAGAATAGTTTAAGCCCTTAAATTAGGATAACCTTGCTCCACAGATGTTCACCGCAAGAGGGAGAAATTAAATTAGGAAATCTTTCTAATGGATTATTATGATAGGAACTCCTATATTCCCCGTAACTCCATCCCCTTTTTCTCCCAAAAGACCCGAGAGAACTATCCATCAAAATTACTATATTAATTGCTACTAATAGAGAAAACTTGTTACACTAAAGATCTTCAAGCTCAGACTTAGTATAAAGGTAAAAGTCTAATGCATTTCATGTCTCATGAACCCCCCAAAAAAAGTCTGAAAAAACGTAATTACCTTATATACGTGTTAAATACAGAGCCAACTTCAAGTGATAGCAATCATTTTAAAAAAAAACAAGTCTACAAGATAATTTTCAGACTAATTAACATGAATCTACTAAACGAATTTATTTATTCATATTCAGCATGAAATACACTGCTGTAAACATTCAGTAAATCGAAATTTTGCAAAACCTTACCAAATAAGGCTATATAAATCTACTCAATTGCAGAGGAAGACCAGAATTAATACAAAGCAAGAACCCAAATCCACAAGAAAATGATTATTTTCAATGATAGAAACCGAGAAGAAAAAGGTCCAGTTCAACTCCTTGGCATATGAAAATGAACCATATAGATCACAAAAATCAAAACTTTGAATTTCTTGTTAATTCGCTCTTTTAACCAAACCAAAATCCAAAAGAAGAATCAAAAGTAACAAACAAAATAAAATACCTGATATGATCTGCTGCAGAAGAAAGAGTGTAGATTTGATATTGCTCAAGTGGGGTCTGAGAAAATTATCCGTGGCAGTTATATCAATATGAAGAGAAGACTAGGCAGTTACAATTGAGGAAGAAGAAGAAAGGGAGAAGAAATGAACAATAAAGTAAACGTATACTAAATATATAATATTATGAGGAAAGGTGGTTGTTCAGTTGTTTTATTAGAATATCAGTGACGAAAGGGGGAAGCTGACCAAACAAGTGGGTTAGAATGTTCCACCCTCTTCCAACCATGGTTAACGCCTAATGGATCACTTACGCGTTACTCTGCTCTCTGTGTTTTACACGCTAATGAAAAAGCCACTGTCGGGTCTCCCCTCATTCACTATATACCCCTTAGCATCCAATTTATTACACGTTACTTATCTAGTATGGAGTACTATTAGATAACTAATCAATACAATATTATTAACTAGAATTAATATAATAATTTTAATTTCTTTATTAAGGGATGATAATGCATTCATTGAGTTAGTGTATCTTTGATCACGCCCAACTCTAGTCCTAAAAAGGATAAGCGGTCGCTGCAAATATAATCCGGTCTAAAAGTCCGGAGTCGAATCCCACAGAGAACTAAGGTTTAGTTGTATCTGTTTAATATCACCAAGAAGACAAGATTGAACAATTTTCTAAATTATAAAGATTGTAATATTTAGTTTTATCTAATTAACTAACAAACCTAGAAAGCAATAAAATTATCAACTAACGAGACAAAGGTTTGGAGACTAAATTAAGGAGGTCTAGAGTTATGATTTACCCAATTGTTGATTTCATTAGTTGTATGTTTCTTATAGCTTTGACTTAGTTGCTCTATCAATCATGAACTCTCCAGCTATCATAAATCTCTCTCAAGCAATTATGATAATTTACTAGACGCACTCTCTCAAGCTACGCTAGCTAGATTCACATTACAGTTCACTTAGATCGCACCCGAGGTATCGTTATCTCTAATCCAACTTCTAAACCCTCGGTTATGACTCTCGCCTATACTCCGGGAGTGATGTTGTTCAAACAACTACCTAAATATGCACTCTCTCTCAAGCAGATACATAATAAATAGGAACGACTAATTGAGGATCCTTTCAATTAACCAAAATCAAAACGTAGTTGAACAAATAGAGATTAACAACTAACTCAAAACTATATTAATATAACAACCAATTCATCCCCAA